TTTCTTTCTTTCTTTCTTTCTTTCTCTCTCTCTCTCTCTCTCTCTCTCTCTCTCTCTCTCTCTCTCTCTCTCCTTCTCCTCCTCCTTTTTAAAAAATGCATGTGTGTGGTATAGAATGCTTATGATGTTCAGAGGACAACTTCTGGGAGTCAGTTCAAATTCAAGTCATCAGGCTTGGAAGCAAGCACTTTAGCCACTGATCTTCTCACCAGCCCTATACTGGGTTTATATCTTAACATAAATATGGAACTTTTAAATTACGTTTGAGCCAAAATATAGTAAGACCATCTAAATTTATTCTGTTTAACTCCCTGCATTGCATATATTTTAAAGACCCTCAAAAATCAGGAAAGGGCATTTTCAAGTGTCTTCCAAGAAGTATGTCATCTCAACCAGTAAACAGATTTTGGCAAAATTAACTCAGATTCATTCATTTATTGTTTCATATTTTTGTGACATATATTTATGTGGGTTGTGGGAGACACTTCCAGATGTTCAGCTAAGATTTAGTGAAAGATGAGTGTTTTAAGGTTTCTATTTAACGGGGAGTATTGGGGTCCAGCCCCTCGATAGTCTTCCCCAGCGTCTGAAAAGAATCTACAACCAGCTGATAATCTAATCTTAGATGATAAGAAATGAATCTTACATACACAAAACTCTCTAGTCTATTCACTATTCTTCTGAGTCAGTTCCCTCTCTACACAGCTTCTATTCTGCTCTCATGCCTAGCTCCCTTTTTGCCTGATTTCTCTCTACATTTATCTACTGTCCCTCTAAGTTCTATCTTAAGTCTCTCATCTTAGTTCCACCCCATCTAGGTTCTCATCCATCTAGTTCTTTCTCATATTAGCTCCTCTCCCATCTCCTTCTTTCCCATCTTGTTCTTCCACATCTGGCTCTTCCTCATCTTCCATCTTGTTCCTCTTGTCCTCTCTTCTAGCCCTTCAATCTAGTTCTTCCCATCTAGTTCATTCCTCTCCAGTTCTTACCTATCTAGTTCTTCCATTATCTTTTCTCTTCTGTCTCATCCTTCCAAGTCTCTGAGGTTTACAGTTATATACCCATGCAATAGTAATGCTCTGGCTAAGGCAAGGTCACCAGGCTTGAATTCCCTCAGGGTCAAAAGGAGGGGCAATAAGATCCACACGAAGGAGCAGTAATTGCCAACCATCATCTGCAATCCAAAAGGGAAGTGACTGTGAGGAATAGAATCAACAGAGGGCTAAATTAGGTTACTATCTGAGCAAAGGGGATTTTATGTGCTCAAACTATATTCTTAGTTAGTGGTTAAAGTGTTAGGAGTCTATTAGTGATGAGTGAAAATAAAACTACCTTATTTTCCTTGGTCCCTTACCTGTCCAAGCTGTAGTGACTACTGCTTTCTGGGAGGGCTGAAGAGTGTACTCGGTAGCTGGGCAGCCTGAGTCAGCTGGATGTACCTGTAAGTAAAGACCCTTTAGTTCTGAGTTAATAGTTAAAGGTAGATATAAAACTAGAGATAAGACTTTGGGAAGGGAGAATGTTAAGCTTAATTAGCACATCCGCCAGGCCTTCTCAAACAGGTAGTCTGGATGCTTAAGCCTGTTTTTAGAGAGTACAGAGGTATCTTTGATAAGATACTTTCGTCTGTCCCAAGATGGTCCTGGCTGGATGCTGCTAATGATGATAATGACAGAAGGGCCTGAAATTAGGGATCCTGGCTGTGTTGCTGCACAGAAGGTTATCTAAATATTCCTTAGAGGGGAAATGGTGCCCAATGAATGATGGAAAAGCTACAATAGCACATGAGAAATGCACAGCAGGAAACGGCCAGTGATCAAAAGCCAGTATCACCAAGACTCCTTGAGCCTCAGCTTGACCTCTGGAAGGCCCTTTGCTTCTTCCAGGTGTAGCTTTGTCATAGTCAGCGGAAATCCCACTGCATATTATTGCAACTTGCAGCATCTATCGCTGTGAAGAGACGCCATGACCATGGCAACTCTTTTTTCTTTCTTTCTTTTTTTTTTTGGTTTTATGAGAAAGGGTTTCTCTGTGTAGCTTTGCGCCCCTGGAACTCACTCTGTAGACCAGGCTGGCCTACAGATCTGCCTGCCTCTGCCTCCCAGTGCTGGCATTAAAAGGGTGCACCACCACCGCCCAGAGACCATGGCAACTGTTACAAAGAAAAGCATTTAACTGGGGCTGCCTTACAGGCTCAGAGGTTTAGTCCATTCATCATGGCAGGAAGCATGGCAGTGTGCAGGCGGACATGCTGCTGGAGAGGTAGCTGAGAGTGCTACATCTAGATTGGCAGGAAGCAGGAAGAGAGTGACACAGGCTTGGCTTGAACATTTGAAACCTCAAAGCCCACCCCCAGTGATACCTTCTCCAACAAGGCCACACCTACCCCCAACTAGGCCACACCTCTTAATAGTGCCACTCTCTACGAGTCTATGAGGGCCATTTTCATTGAAACCACCACAGTGAGCCAAAGCAAGTACTGCTACTCCTTGCGTTGGAGAGTAGTCTGTCCAGTGTCCAGTGGTGGGGCAGTGCAGACCACTGTCCTCTGGCTTTGACATAGCCCTTGGGTTCTTCAACTGTCAGCATTGTGATTACCAGGAGACCTGAACAAGAAGACTAGATCCTCAACTTTCAGTCCTGAGGCAGGGAGGGAGGGGCTCAGGAGGCCCCACCCCTGTGAGGATTTATAGGCAGTAAATTATTGCTAAGGGGAGTGTTTAGTGCAGCCCCGCCCCTTCTGAGGATTTATAGCCTGTTACAGATTGCTGACGGCAGTTTTGGCTTATCCTCTGAAGACATAATAGTGATAGTGTCACGGCTTCTGAGTCGCCTGCACTCATGTAACCCCATTTTAAACCACTGAGTCACTGAAGTGGACTTGGAGGAAATAGTTTGGCCTGTCTGTCATTGGCGTCCTCTCTGGAATGAATCGACAGACATATGTTCATCTCCCTGGGAAAAGCCGCACAACAGATGACAATGGACCGAGAGGCAGGATCCTTGGGGACAGGACAGGCTCTGTAGAGTGGGGAGAGCAAGGTCTTAGGCTCCTGCAGAGCCTTGTGGATGGAGGATGGAGATGAGGAAGCATTGGGTAGGATGAAGGCTGTTGCCACTCACTCGGGAGTGGGGATGCTTGGTATATCTGAGTTATTTTGTGGGTAACTGGACTGAAGGGGAGGGAAGCTGCCACAGAGCTGGCGGGCTCTGGTGCCAATCCCGAACAGATGGAGGAATCCATCACAGAGACAGAAACACTGGCAGATGACCAGGGCTGCAGGGGGAAGCACATGCTTGGTCGGGGGCAAAATGATCCTGAAGTAGGTGGTGGCGATTATGTAACGCTACTGTTTAATGAATCACCAATCCCAAAATGTTGAAGCTCACAAAAAAGAAAAAGGAAAAAAAAAAAAGAACAACACTTCAGAGATGGCTTCATTTTAATTCATGCAGAACTGTTGCATCTTTTTAACAGCAGCATAACAATGTACAATAACCTCACGAGCTTTGTCATGGTTACTGAGCACCCACCCAGTGTTTCTTGATTTATGCATTTTTGCCAAGAAAGCAATGTAAACACATACATGGCTGTGTTGGCTTGTGTGCAAAAAGATGCAGGGCTGCAATAGCCATTGCAGTACTCATGATGGCTGGTCAGTGAGGATCACTAGAAAAGGCAAGCTTTGCATTCAGACTTTAAAGAGGATTTTTATTAATTGATTTGCATAGAGATGCCAGGTATGAAGCCCTGCCTCCCACACCCTTGCCAAACCATATCATCAGGTTCTTGGATGTGTGTACACCCATGCCATGGTGTGTCTCTGTGGGTCAGAGGGCAATTTACAGGAGTTGGTTCTCTCCTTGAATGCCAAGGATCAAACTCAAATGGCCAGGCTTGGAGGCAGGTGCCTTTATGTACTGAGACATCTTCTCACCAGGTCGACATGTCTGTGTGTTTTTTTTTTCTTAAGTAAACTCAGATCCTTATGCTTGCAAAGCAAACACTTTATTGACTGATCCATCCTCCCAGCCTGTTTTTTTTTAATTTTTTCCTTTTATTTTATTTTACAATACCATTCAGTTCTACATATCAGCCACGAGTTCCCCTGTTCCCCCCTCCGCCCCCCTCTCCTTCCCCCAGCCCACCCCCCATTCCCACCTCCTTCAGGGCAAATCCTCCCCCGAGGACTGCAATCAACCTGGTAGACTCAGTCCAGGCAGGT